CTTGAGAATGCCAAAACTGCCATTTTGACATAGTGTAAATTAAAGATCACAGAGTTCTTCAAGAAAGGGTTAAATGAAAACATTGCCTTCAGACATGTATATACCTAGATGGAGGACATTTTGAGAAGCAAGAGCTTCTCCTTTTGATATTTTTGTTCTATGATTTTATAGCAGTACTTTTTAAACTTATTTTTGTATGGCCATTCTCTGTTTGGCTTTTTGAGAAAGTGCCAAAATATTTTCTACAGCAGTTGTATTATTTTGCATTCCCACCAGCAGTGGATGAGTGTACTTCCTACACATGCTTACCAACACCTGTTGTCTTGTTTTTTCAATCATTGCCATCTTAGTGGGTGTGAAGTGATACCTTTGTGGTTTAAATTTGTATTTCCCTTATGATTAATGAAGCTAGGATCAACACTGGACTGTGAACCAAAGGTCAGCAGTTTAAACCCATCAGCTGATCCTATGAGTTGGAACGACTCGACAGCACTTAACAACAACAAGGATTAATGATATTGAGCATCTTATATTTGTTAGCAGTTTGTATTTCTTCTTTGGTGAAATGTCTATTCAATCCCTTCTTTTTTTTTATGGGATTTTGGATTTTCATTGTTGAGTTATAGTTTTTAAGGCATATTCTGGATATTAGAACCTTATCAGATATATGAGTCTCTGCTTATTTCTCCCAATCTGTAGGTTGTCTCTTTATTCCCTCAATAAAGTGTTTTGTTGAACAAGTTTTTCATTTTGATGAAGTCCAGTTTATGTATTTTGTCTTTTGTTGTTCATGCTTTTCATGTGATTTCTAAGAATCCATTGTTTAAAAGTAGATCTGACCCCTATGTTTTTTTTAAAAAGTTGTATGGTTTTGTTTCTTAAATTCAGGTCCTTGATTAATTTTGAGTTAATTTTTGTATATGATATGAGATATGGATCCAGGTTTATTGTTTTTCTTTTAAGCTAAGTTTTGTCTGTTTTTGAACTTTATTCATATAAAGGAGTATGTGTTCTTTTGGGTTACCTTCTTTCACTTAATATAGTGTTTTTGTGGTCTATGTATGCATGAATCGTTCGTTTTTGTTTGTTTATTTTTTGGTTTTGCATTGTATGATAAACATTTTGTTTTGCCATTTTTCTGTTGATAGTCATTTGGAATGCTTTCACTTTTTGGCTATTATTGATTGAACTGTTACAAACATTTATGTACAAGTCTCTGTCTGGAGATATATTCATTTTTCTTTATAGTAAATACCTAGGAATGAAATTTTAGGTCATAGGATAGGTGCATGTTTAACTTAAAAACATTGCCAAACAGTTTTCTAAAAACAGTTGTGCCATTTTTGCACCCCTAACATCAATTTGTTATTGTTGTTGTTAAGTGCTGTCAAGTCGATTCCAACTCAGCTAGAGTCTTTTTAAGTATTCTAGTGAGTGTGAAATATTTTCTCATTCTAGTTTTAATTTGCAATTCCCTGACAACTAATGATTGTCAACAAACTCTGGGTTTGTTGGTCATATATCTTCTTTGCAATCTGCGTATTAAAATATTTTGTCTTATTATTACATTCTCATATATGTAGGCTATAAGTCCTTCATCAGATGAATGTATTGCAGCTATGTCTCCCAGTCTGTGGCTTGATTTTTAAATAT